CACGCGTATTGTAGGATACGCGGAGCAAAAGAGCGCTCATCCTTCAACCCCGCTTCAAGCGCGCAAGTTTCTCATCGCAAGGAGAAGCGTTTTGGAGGAATGAGATCAAATGAGAAAAACGTGAAAGAAAAAAAAGGTTTAAAACGGTGAAAAATCTCCAACTCCTGCCGCTGAAAACCTCATGCGGGCGGCTGCACAGCATGCAGCACAGTTGTGGTACAGTTCCAGCACAGTGCAAGAACTGTGCGGGAACAGCAGAACATCCGACTCAGTATGAACCAGCCTAAGGAAGGCAATTACAACCGAGAATGTTGTGGTGTGTTAATACTTTCTGACAGCGAAAAACACTTGTCGACATCGTAAGTTGAACATCAAAAAAAATTTTGAGGTTGAAAGAACGGTAGCCGTGTTCTTTGACAGGCAAGGGGTTGAGCCAGAAAGTTTGTGATCAGAATTTTTCCTATCGTTTTACTAAACCCCTGATGCTAGCAGATTCAACCTTCCTTCGAAGAAATTCGGTGCCAATTGTCTTTCTTAATAGATAATTGTGCTTCAGGATTCTGCTTACCATCATCGTGCCAGATGAATACTGTGGCATCTCTCGCCAATCGTTTCAGCGAAGAATTCTTGGGAATTCCTGGAATATCTGAAAACTGGATATCTGTAGATAAAACTGCATGCCACGGAAAGAACGACAAAAGGACTGAGGTTTTTATCACTGTTGGGTTGTTGCCTCTCGTACAAATTTCTTTACAGAGACTTCTTATTCTTTTTCCGATAGCGATAACTCTTATCTTAATTACCGGAACATCGGTGGATATTTTCGTGATTAACAAACGTCCGAGCGAAAGCCATGCTGACGATCGCACATTTTCAGGAAGCGATGTGACTGCAGGTAAACTTTCATTCACTTTTATAAATATCTGGCCTTCAACACAATGGTAGGACTGCAAAGTGCCATGCCAACAGTCGCTTTTTCAGCTATGAACGCTCCGAGAAAAGTCAACTGGTTCAATGCACCATCAGTTGCGCTCACATACAAAAATGTGCCCGACTTATCGAGAACTCTTGCAAAGCCTGCCATCATTTTAGATATTGTAAGATTGCGCAAAATCTTTGCTGCAAGTTCAAGACTAGTTTCGCTCTTACAGATGTGCTCCTTCAGTATACGAATCTCTTTGAGACAGCTTTGTCGTAACACGGCAAAAGAAATTCCTTGTTTGAATGGAATCAAGGTTATAAGCATGTTGTGGGTAAGCAGAGATATAAGTTTTGGGGCTTTTCAACGGCTCAAAACAGTACCCTCGTCTACTGTTATGTCTTATCATATATAAAATTTCGACTTTGTCAATATTTAGTAGTACTTTATGGGCAGATAATTGAAAACCCACGTGAAGTTTAAGTCAAAGTCATTAAATTCAGACGGCAAAATAGTGATAGTACACTGTATACAAGGAGTTCAGAAATAAACTCATTCGCAGCTCTTCTTATAATCAGCGTGGTACTTCAAATGTGTTGAAGCGGATAAGTGACGCGGACCAGCACATTCCGAATTCAGCCAATGTCGGTATAAACATTTTTGCGCTTTTTTGAGGGAGCTGACATCTTATTACAATTTTTTTACATGCTCTTCATGAATAAGCCATCACCACCTCTTTACGGGCACTTTCTAGATTACGATGTCATACTAGTGCGGGCCCCCACACTAGGCAAACCTCCAAGTCGCACCGCAAGATTGCTTACGGAGCGAGAAACTCGCTGCGGAAGGAGCAAATGGAACTGGTCACTCCACCAGCTGGTCGCCCCGCCCACTTATCAGACTTTCCCTCGCTCGCGCTTGTTGCTGGGGTTCTCCAAAAACGGATTTTGGGGTTTCGGGGATTCCCGAATACATATCAAACAGGACCTTCAGAAGGCCTAGAATCGACAAAAACATGGAAGTCGTGAATTTGGGTAGATGGTGCATTTAAGAGGCGCGCTTGGTTCGAGATCTTATGCGTTCCCTTCATTAATTCAGCAATAAGTCTACTTGACAAAATTAACGCAAAACACATAAGCAACTCGTACGGCAGTACTCGCGATCTTGCGATTCAAAGGCCTTCTCTACATCAACCAATTATGAGCTTCTGTTCTGATTGAATGCAGCTGAAGAAATTATCGACCGCTTGATTTTACAATGGAAATACGTCACAATGACAGATTAGAAGCTTGTTCCAAGCATACTAGCAGTTTTTTGAGATCGCCTTGATCCATAAATTGTTTTGAGATTTTCGAAATTCCCGTTTTGAGTGCAGGAAGTGGATAACAGGATGTCGTTATCTCAAGAATGTAATATATAATTAAAATCAAATCGGTAAGAAGATGTGACTTGTGTACGCAATCTTTTAAACATACTCAAGAGTTCTCCGAAGAAACCACCATTTTGAGCAATATGACCGATTTAGGTTTGTCGAAGCCAAAAATGCTTAGCTAATGACAGGAACAAAAATGAAGATAACGTTATTTCTAAAAAATATCTGTATTTTTGGCGAGCTGATCAAATTTATGAGTCGCACAATTCCATACTTCTCCGTTTATGAAAATGGAAAAAGTACAAGCATTCACGAATACTTCATCCTAAAAACTTACTTATCTTAATCAAACAGAAAATTATTTAGGTAATATTGGGCCATTCCACGCTCTTCACTCTACCCTACATGGATAACCTTCCCACATTTTTTCCGTTGCTGAAGAACTCGCGATGGCTCGCTCCAGTACTTCTTAATTCCTCGCTAGCAGTCGATTCGTTTCTTTTTATATCCGGAACAGTGGCAGCATACTCTATGCGGAAACGTCTACTATTCAGGTAAAGATGAGCACTACATAATGGTTACTCAAATTCAGATCTTATAGAGATGCAAGATTTTCGCTTTATCAACTCGTCTATCGCCTGCTAATGTTTTACTTCCATCGCATTCTCCGAATATGGCCATCGATGCTAGCATTCACGCTTTTCATCCGCTTCATCTATAATCACTTGGGAGACGGTCCGATGTGGTCGTATGATGGTAAATTCCTTAATTATCTAAACGTTTCAACAATCAGAGGTGTTCCATTAGTAAGTGATACAAACAGTGACCTTAGTGTCAGACCTTCAACAAGCACTTATGGAGTTGCTATAAGTCAGTTTGCGCTCTTTGCGTGGGTATTTTTCCAGCCCTCTCCAGCGTTTAGGCGTGCCCTTCACTTCTTCGAATTCTGTGTCTCTTGCTAAGGCTCACTGTTATTTCGTTTTTCTCGACTCCATGCGAGTTGGTATTCGAATACCAGCCTCCTGGGGTGAAGATTTCGTACGGCTATCATGTTATGAAATTGCCAAAGGAATAGACGCGGTGAACCGAAGATAATTGAAGAGATTCAAAAGACTGATCACCCGTGCGAAGAGATTAAAGAGACGATTTCAAATTGTTACGCTATTATCATTAGTCGTGCTGATTTTCTACCGTTGCAAGAAGTGGACAGAAGACAAAACAGCAATGAGCCTCCGTAAAAAATATTGGAAGATAAAAGAATGAAAAAATAGTTGGAGAAATGCGACAGCGCGGGCAAAATGCATACGTTATACGTCCATATAAACTATCAAGATCTAATCAACGCAGCCGTGCAAACCCAAGCCGCTCTTAGGAAGCATATTTCATTTTCATTTTATTAAATACGCTCGAGACGTCTCATAGTAAAAAAATAACAATGAAA